GACAAAAGGCTTTTATATCTCAGACCTTATCAGAATGAATTAGTACATGAAAATGCCACGGCCACCACTCTACCATCACTCTCTGACTTTTCTGCCCACTGTGAACTGTAAAAAATGGATTAGCTTCATTTGTAAGGCAATTTCTTCCGAACGAGGGACAAGAAATGAAAAACACAGCCGCCACGCACACATGCACTCGCCATCTTCAAAAAAAAAAAAAGGATTGTCTGAATTACTGAATTATTTTTAGATGAGGCATGAATTTCCACAGCAGACAGTTTCTAATCAATTTTAATCAGGTCTTTTGCTGCTTTTTGGAAAGTATTGGATCTAAGACGTGTCAGACAACGGAGCAGTACAATATTGAACTTGGCTGTGAATCCATTATCAGCATGTGTTGGGCTGGAAATGTGACAAAACTGCAATCGGATTAGATACAAATGAAGACTGGTCTAAGTACACACTGCGCCAATGTGGAAATTGTCAGTGATCAGAATACTTGTTGCTACATTTGCCTACAAAAAGCTCTAACATAGCTGTACTGCCATCTGATAAGAGGTGTTTGATATAATCAAATGCTGCTTTTGTTACAATGATATTTTAACTAATTACATGTTCAGATTCGATTCATTTAAACAGCCATTTTCAAATTAACTCCATTTAACATGTGAAAAGTGGACTTGATTAATGCTTTACCTAGCAGGTTTAAAACAATTAAAAGCCTTCCCATCAGATAGATGTGCCGCAGGGACTGACTCGTCCTCTTGAGCCTCCACTGAGGAGGTTTGTATCATTTTATTTAATGGGACCCGATGTGTCCATAAATCAGATTTCAGTGCTGCAACCGCTCGCTGTGTGAGCAATTTGTCTTCTTAGTCCAATGGGAAATACCTGACTGGCTACTTAAAAAGAAAGTCATTACTTTCACGGTACAACATAATATATATTTTTTAAAGTTCATAATTAAAAGCTGAGTGACTTTTAACCCAAACCGCTCTGTGGTCACTAACATCCATCCAACAGCAATTTCTGGACAAAGGTGGCTCAAAACAAGCCCTGGCTGCCAGCAGCAGGTGTGGAATATGTCATTGTTGTTTCCATGGCAACCCATACCACAGCCTGCACCGTCCTCCATTGTGGGATGGTGTAACGATGTCGCTCTTTTTTTCGTGTCCCCCACGCAGTTCTGTGCACAGGGAGGTATGGGTCTCTTGCCGTCTCCAATATGTGCAGAGACACTCACACTGCCTGTCAAGGGCATCCTTTAAACAACTGTCCTTTTTATGCTTCTTTATTCTCCTCCCCCCGTCTTCACAACTGAACACCATCAATCTAGCCATTTACTTTAACTTTATTTCTCACTCCATTAGTTTCTAGGACACAGAGCGGCACAGGGAGAGAAAAGGGGGTGGGGGAGGGAGATAGAGAATGTGAAAAAATGAAAAGAAAGTTTGGCTCCTTGGAGAGATAAAATGTAATTTCACAGTCAACTTGCTGTGATATATTATTTCACAACAATGGGGTGTGGGCTGATATGAGCCCTGCTTGGCACCTGTACAGAACAGTTAGAACATCAGCGATTGCTCTCTGGAGGGTTGGTGGTGTGTGTTTGTGTGTGTGTGTGTATATATGTGTGCACAATTACAAAAAAAAAAACACCTGAATGGCGGTACCAGGAGGGTCCAGCCCAGTGGATCAGTGAGGACAGTCGACCGTAAAATATGAGTAGTCATGATATACGGCAAAAAAAATTCCAGTTTTGTTTAGAGTTATTTAATATGAAATAATATTTCCAGTTAGTGATTTCATGCCTTTGTGTATTGCGCTTTAGTGGAAATAATCAGTTTAACAGCAGGTGTGCATAAACCCGAACCAAGAAAAAAAAAAAGATGAAATCCAATATTCAGCATGTCTGCAGTAAGACAGTTTAGCCAAATGAAAGAACCTAAAACATCATTTACTCCAGTAGCTGCACTCCCCTGTTGCTCCTGCTTCACCATTATACACACTGTTATCCAGGAACATGGTAAAGCATTGATAGATGCCTCGTGCTTCATTAGCTACAGTCTCTCAGCCTGGGAAGCACTTACACAATATCAAACAGCTTCAACCAGAAACCCAATGAGGCAATAAGCCTAACCTAGCATACAGAAGAACATCATGTGAGAAATGTTCTCATTTCAATTAAAAAACAATATCAGCTGATGTCCATTCAATGCAGCTTCTTATTTATATGAAACATGTCACATACTAAAACTAATTAAATACATTTTATTTAAAGTTTCAAGTCAATATATTAGTGACATCAAGTGCAGAGGTGTATTCATGGGTGTATCCTTGTCTCTTTCTCACAGTTTGCTGTTCTTATGAAATTGGGACACCAGTCCCAGCACCTGCTCTGATGCCGTGATGAACTTATTCTGCAGGTAAAGTGCGCTGTTTTTAGACGTCTCGGTCAAGAAGTAACGATAGTTCACCATAAGACCGCAGGAGTTCGCCACACCTCTAGGGCTGGTGTCGGCACGCCAGTTGAGCCGCCACATGGTGGCGCCATTTTGCAGGTGGAAGTTGGCCACCGGGTTGAGAGCGTAGCCTCGCCTCTTCTCCCCGTAGAGGTACCAGGCACAGAGACGCATCAAGGCGGGCTCCAGGACACGGCACAACCGCTCAGACTGCATCCACTCGCTGGTGCTGATCAGCTTGCGGAGGGCCTCGGTGGCTGGGGCCCCCGTGGCTGAGTCAGTGGCCTGTTCAACCTCCTTCCACTCCTGCTCAGAGAGGAGGTCAGAGCCCCGGCCTTCTTTCCTGTACTGGCTGAGCAAGCCTTGGAGCCAGGAGGAGAAGCCTGGGATTGGAGACAGGCTGGAGAACTGGGCCATGTGAGGGAACTCACTCTGGAAGACATAAGGAGAGAGGGGGGAGGTAGAGTTTACCCTTAAACACATATTTCATTGTCTTTAGAGACCCAGGACCATTTTACACCCGGTCTAATTAACTGACTTCAACTGCCTTCCAGTTGTCAAACTTTCTCTGGTTTAAGAATGCCAAAACTGACAAAACACTTTGTTTGAACAATGTTTTCGGGTCTTTAGAGACCTGGGGTATTTAAGAGTGCATTTTTAACAGCAGGTAATGTGTCACTGATACTATTAATTGACACAAACATAAGGATGAAACATTTTGCTTATACCACAGTAAAATGATGGTGCACAATCAGTGTCTGGAGCATGAATGTGAGAATGTTAGCTCAGAGGTCATGAGCTTTACAGGCAAAACAGATAGTAACTGTGATTTGTGCTTACGTGCTGACTTGTATTTGGAACACAATATGCATACACATAATGTATAAGAAGTTGTTTCAATTATTTTTGGTGTCTATAAAGTGTCCAAAAAATAAGTAAGTAAGGGTTTATTGTTGTTAATACTATATTTCTATGTTTAATGTCTATGTTTGAAAAGTGCAGAAGCGGTGTTATTTTGTCTGTGTTCAATATGGAACTAAAGACCGAACGTGTGCAGGAATGTTTGGAAAGGCAGTAAGGGTTACAAAAGTTTTGAATCGTCTATTCTGAAACACAAAAAAGTTGCAGAATCATTTGCATGCATGCAGAGACAGCTCAGTGCAGAATTTCCTCAACCTGCCGGAGCCAGCTTTAAGTTAGGGGAGGGAAAAATCTAGGAAAGGGATGGGGATGAGAAAACAAGGTAAGGGTATAAAGAAAACAGATAAGAGGCAGCAGAGATTTGATCCCCACCAGAATGCAAAGGGCACCAGCTTTGCAAAAGCGGAAATAAAGGAGATAAACACTCAACCTCAGTTTCAAAACACAAAACTAAATCTTCTTGTTTGTGCTCAGGCTGCTGCTCAGGCCTTCAATTCCTCAGACAGGGACTGCATTACAAATCAACTCCACCGCTTCACGATCCTGCCCCGCTGATGGAGATGGATGATCCCCTCTCTCCTTCCCTCCTTCTTATTCTATCCTCCTCCTCCTCAGTCCCTTGCACTCTCACCTTTAAATCCTCTTTTCTCACTTGCCTCTCCCCCATGTCTCCGTCTCGACCACACACAACACGCCCACCCACCACATCTCATGAGTTTTCTTCCACCCCGTTACCCTCTCCTCTCACCAAAATCCTCCCCTTCTTCCCCGCCCATATTTTCGCTCCGGCATCTGGCTTGATAAGTGACGGAGCGATGTGGCAGGCAGAGGAGTGAAAGGCTGCAGATGAAAGTGGAAGTGTCAGACAACCCCTGGAGGGACACGCTGCTGTCTGCCTTGCTCTGCAACATTGTTTTCCTTGCTTCCTCCTTGATTGCTTCACCTCCTTTCACTTCAAAATACAGCCTTCTCACTCTCTTTTCCCCCAGTGTTTCTTCTCACTCTACTGTATCATGATCTCGCCCTCTTCACTCCACATTGAACTACCGGGTGCTCTTTATGTTAAGAGTGGGCAGGGTTAACAAAGCAAGGAGGCGGTGGAAATAAGGGCAGAGGCGGCAGGAGAGGTGAAAAAGGAAGAGGGAGGAAAGGATATAGAGAAAAAAGAAGAGCGGTGCCAGAACTGTACTCCAGGGTCCAATCTTCAAAGACAAGCAAGACCTCCTCCCTTCACCTTAAATCACGACTGTGACCTTTTCTTTTCCACTCTATCATCTATCCATCATCACAGTGGTCCCTCTGTGGCTGTGCTGCTCTTCTCTTCACCTTTACGTAAGGTAAAGCCCTGTCAGTAAGCCAGGGCCTCTGCAGAATACAACTGTGTTGGTTTTGTGTAGCCTCAAGGGTATTGCACTTATACACTGTGGGTCAGAGGTTGGATTCCCACTAGAGTAAAACATAATTGCGCTCATGAGGTTTCTTTGGATAAAAGCATCCAGACAAGGGTATGAAAGTCAAATTTAAAAAATTGGAAGTTTAAATTTCCAAGCAGTACTTTACACTGCTCTACAAAGCCAAAATGCAAATCAATCAAAACTGTGTTCAAACCAGAATGGGACACTTTGGAGTTTTATAACATTAAATACCATATATCTTTGCTTGCTAATCTGCTCTGGAAGCCGTAGTCACACTTAACTGTGCTCTCCACCACAGCTAAACTCCTCCTAAAGCTAATGTGACTAACTAGCTTAGCAGAGAAACTAACTTTCATCTCAGCTTTTGACTCTAGTTCAATGTGGCGAGTTTAAGAGACCTTGAAAAACTCAAATTCCCCCTTTCCTCAACACTGATTTGTAGTACTGCTCTGTGCTTTTGTAGAGAAGTATAGAGAAGCTAAAAAGTAGCACACCTCTTTTTTTAGATTATTATTTTTGCATTAGAAAGACAACAAAGATGACAGGAGAAGATGCTGACATGCAAAGCAAGCAGACCTCTTGATGAAGACGACATTCACCATCTGTAAGGCTTTTACACCGCAGTGCAATATAACCTACTTTCCAAAACTCTGACACAAACAGCCCTAATGCTAAAGCACAAAACACCAAACAACATGTGCTGAGCTCACGGAACCGTATGTTTCCATTAATACAAATGCCAATAAGTAAAAAAAGCTTGCAGCAATCAAAACAGTCTCATTGTATGAATAACTAAAGTGAAAGAAGCTTAAAGCTCTGGAACCTGATTTTTATGAGGATACACTATAAAGAGCTATTTCCCATCTGTTTGGTAGAGTGGCTTTTGATGTTCCATTCAGTGTTCCAATCATTTAACAAGTGCTAGCTGGAGTGGCCCGACATGGAGGGCTCTTCTGCGCTTATTGAGAGGGATGGATGAGATTTCATTACTGTCTGTCTGCTTACTACCGCTCTGTTTATGTGTGTATGCATTCAGTGAGTGCTAAGACGAGTGGGAGATTTATGATTCAGCACTGAAATGAAAAGAAAAACGAAAACTTTGGAAAAGCAATCAAACAAAAATTCTTTCCTGTTACAGCAATATTTCTCGCTGGGATAACTGTGCCAGCTGGGCAACACCTGAAGGCTACTGTGTAGTCTTTTAATGGAATTCAGCATGAGTCATACAGAGTGAAACGTGTTGTTCATTGGGAGGAGAACACCTTTTGCTCCTGCACAACAGGGGAGGAGCTGAGGAGCGTTGCAGGAGTTAACAGCTGTGTCTGTGCCATGTTTTGTGTTATGTGAACTGTCAAGATAAGGTTTTATTATCCAGCTATAATGAGACAGGGGGGTTTAAAAGCTTCACTGATAAGACGCTTTATGGTTACTGTATTTAGATGCATAACCTTGCCTCTTCTGTGACTGTATGCCTAACCTCACCTTTACCCAAGCCAAGACTTTATGGGAATTCAAACAGAATGGATTCAAATCATTTTCCTTTTGCAATGGTTTTGACCTGCTGTGCCAATTTCAGTGTTGAGTAAAACTAACAAAAACTGCTAATTTTATTTGCATCCCACATATCAAACAAAATGACAACATCAAAGTAGGTATTATGCGATTCAGATGGTTTATCCGAACGTCATAAGATTATGTTCATTAATGAATTTTAATCATTGTTCCGTTTCAGAATAAAATGGTAATTTTCTAAGACTATAGGAATAGAAATGAGAAAAATATACTGGCAGAAGCCAGTATTTGAATTGATGTAGAGTAATGACCTTTGAAAACTTTCATTTGATTTATTAAATATGCTGTATGACTTCAAATATAGATCATGAAGACTGACTTTACCACACAGCAAATTATACATTATGTTTGTGAACGTACCTCAGTGAATTAGTTAACATTTTCTGTTATGTGTCTACCACCTCTTGTTTATCTTTGATCCTTCAATCAATGTATGTTTCGTAAATGGTAGCCATATAAATAACACTAACTTTAAAGTTAAATGATTTCAAATACAGCCAGCTAGCAATATTATAATGCTGCAAAAGCATGTGGCATTATACTGCAATTAAAACTACTGTAACAAACACCAGATACTCTGACACTGACAGTAACCAAAGGATTATTTGGAGGACTGAGCATGTGATTTAACGTTTTGCACTTTGTATGTTAACACAGCATTTTATGTTTAAGGGTACCAGGAAGTCAATCTGGTTCTTTGTATGAAGAGTTTCTGTTGTAAAATGTAAGCCAAAGTAAACATAGAATACTGTAATTCTCATTCTTCAAAAATATGTGGTGGATGTGATCATTTCTCCAGCTCCTGCTATAAATATGAATTCTCAACATCCATAGTTCTTAGACCAACATTTTTATGATAAATGTAATACACTTCATCCTGCATCCCACCCGCACTCACCTGTAGTTCTCTGACTACCCTCTTAATGAGATAGTTGCCCAGCTCCACTCCTTGTAGGCCAGCCTGGGTGGAGCTGATGGAATAGAAGATGGCTGCATTTATCTTATTCACATCCTCCTCAGAGTCAAGAGTGGCAAACTCACGGACGATACTCTAGAAGAAAAACACACATTTTTGCACAGTCACAAAGAAAGATTCTGCAGTACTCTTCCAAATACATGCCCATTCTCTGTGTTTTTAGCTAGATAGCTGCAGCAAAGGCAGGAAAGTATTTCAGAGCTGCTGGAACAAAACTGTGGATATCGCTGCAATATTTCAAACCATGGAATATTTCAGTGTTGTCAAAACCACCTTTTTCCTCACTGTAAACGGCAAGAAAAGAAAGTCGGCACTGTAGAGGTTGCTCCCAGAGGGATACGCAGTTTAAAGGTCTTGCTATTGTTTTTTTCACACAGCAATAATCCATTTGTCAGCTGAGAGGAGGAACAAAATAATAAATCCCTGATGTTTAACTATGCTCCAAGGTGTGATTAAGTGAGCCTGCAGCTATTGTTTCTAACCTGAATGTTATCAGAGATGTCCTCAGTGAGAGCCACGTGTAGTACAACCAGGGGTTCTCCTGGCATGGCAGCGTGGGTGAAGGCGTAACACCGGCGGTACGGCCCCACTCTGCGCTTCAGGTCAGTCCAGTTCCTCACAGGGTGCACTGCCTCATACCTGGCAGAGAAAACGTAGTTAGTCTTTCAGTTCTCAATTAAAGCAGCAGGTCATTTTTTATATATATAAAAAAATAAAAGTTTTGTTATATTTGCTGAAACGTTCACTATATCCTGAGGGTAGTCCCGGGGTAATCTGTGAAGGCTCGTGTTAGCGCTCCGAATTCACGTGGGCTGCAAGAAAACAACCAATCTCAGTAAAGGAAGATTGCTGATTGTTGAGTCTTATTAGATGGCGTCACTAATACACTTTGGGACTCTGGGAATCGTCAAGCTTTCAACCCAAAGTGTCTTTGTATCTTTTTCAGCTCTGATCGCCGTTCAGGCCCAGTGGATTCTTGCAAAAAATGCCATTAGGAGCATTAGGAGGAGCCAGAGGAACCTGTATTTTTCACAGATTATCTGCCTCATGTACTATTTTTAGGATAAAATGTTAGTTAAAAACATTTTCTTTATAAACAATTACCTGCTGCAGCTTTAACTGTTTGCTAAGCCCCACCCTCCTTAGCTACTGTTGCTATAATTGTCAAGCTTTCCATTCTTAGTTATTTTTTTGAAACATCAAGTCACTGATTTCAGACGGAGGTAGACAAAAGCAGGATTTTCATTTTCTCATTTTGCTCCTGAAACAACTGTCGCTGGCAGATTTTATTCACTGTAGTAAATTAGCTAATTCAGCTAACGTTAGTTCCGGGAGTTGGTTTAAACTATTAAAGGTGGCCTTTTATTGTTTCCAGCTGACTTGTTTTGAAACAAAATCCCTGTAAAACGGGTCTTAAATATGCACTTGATGGCTACACATGATAGCATGCTAAAAAGATGTTTGTAAACGGTTAGATTTACACCTCCACAATTCTAGTCACAGTTACAAAGCTATGATGGGGGGAGGGCTTTAGAGAACAGTCAGTTTTCATACTTGTTATGTATCATTTCTATGGAAGAAAAGAGAGTGCGATGAAAGGAAAAGGTGAAAAAAAGGCTTGTGAGGGAGCATGAATGCCCTTACTGGCTGATCTTCTGCAGGATCTCGCAGGGGGACTGCCAGGTGATTCTCTCCAGTCGGAGCAGACCTACCGAGAACCACTCAGACAGCAAGCTCTTCAGCGTGCCATTCAGGTCCTGGGAGAGAAACAAGGTGAGGGTTTAGAATTATCCGTGTCCAGCTGATAATAGAAAATTCACCACATTCTTTCCCTTGGCAGGCGGTCTGTAGGGAAAATAAAAGCAGAATCTTGCATTTGTATTTCATAATACAGCAGGGACTGCATATTAAAGAAATAAAACACTGGTATGCCTGTAAATCGTATATGCACATGAACAAGAAAAAGGAGGTCATGGTGTCTACTATATCTGAGCCCTGTAAGAAACGCCCTTTCACTGTAGCTTTTTTGTTGTCCGTTTTTTTTTTACATCTTGTAAGGAAGAAACACCATAAAAGTATACCCTAGAAATTGCAGCTTTTATATGACTATTAAAGAAGTGGATAAACACACAGTCTTTACAACCACACAACCTTTTATTGAGAGAACTCACAAGCTCTACCTTATTGACTGACAGCGAAGTTGCTTGAGTTTGTCTGGAGGCTATAAACAATTCCATACCGGTATCTTACACACTGTGCTGGGTCCACGGCCCCCTGGGTGTCTGTATGCTGTTTGAATGTTTTCACATTATGAGTAGTGATTTGTTTGAGCTTGCAATGGGTGTAGAGGAGGCACTTCAATAAACAACTTGCCATTTCAAAGCAGGCGCGTCCTCCTGCAAAGGTCAGACTTCATTTAAAGCAAATCTCCTGCAAACACACAAACAAGCACACACGGTGCACGCACGCAAACACACTCAAAGACATAAATACAGCTTATATTGGCTGTTCCATAGGATGACTTCACTTCAGGCTTACTTTAATGCCGGCTTGTCAGTCATAATAATAGCTAATACAAACAAGCTCAAATATAGTCATGGTACAAAAGCCACTGGCTGAAGTTCACTGCGAGCCACTATCAAAACCAAAACTAACAACGTTTGAAATTCTTCCCCACATATATGCATCAGACCCTGCATTATTCAGCTCTGTGCTTGAGAGGTTTCACACTGGAAAATTCTGTTGAGTGAGGATCAAATCAAAAGTAACCCTCGGAGAAAGAAAAGCAAAGTTCAGCAACACTTCCATCGCGGTTTGTGTGCGTGTATATTTACTGTATGTGTATTTGTGTTGTTCTAGCTTCACAAGCTGCCCAAGGTAAAAATAATCTATGATGGCTGATAATCCCAGCCCGGCATTTCTGTGGAGGAACGCAGCCTTCGGTAGCCAATTCTCACCCACACAAAAGAAAGGCCAAGCTGAGATGTATGCCATTGACCTAGCCGAAGATGAAGTTTTTTGAAATGGAAGGGGCAAAAGCATTTGAGGTTACGAGGAAGACGGAGGAAAGGAGGGAAGGGAAAAGAAGGAAATCTAACACTTTTTGACACTGGCACTGTATCAATGTGGCGAGGCAGGGATGCTGTGAGCTGATGCAGTCTCTGCTACCTTGAGCTGCAGTTTTATTGTGATTATACAGAGCAATGGAGACTGCAGTGGCTGGAAGAAACAGTCTGTCTCTCCAAGGCCAAATGTGCCACAGACTGCCAAAGTGTTTACAGGTCAAAACTGAGTGAGTGTTTCCAATACCTTTACTCCAGTAGGCTGCGTGCCACTCACTGCCTGGAAAGTCTTTCTGTGGGAGGGGGGGAAATAGCCTCACTGATACTTTGTGAAATCGCAAGAGCCAAGCTAAAATGACATCTCAGACTTGGTTTTACATCTTTCATCCACTGAGTTTGTGGACAGGGGAATACGAATGAAAGGCCTGGAGGTAGAAGGAGTGAGGAGGAACATCAAAAATCAATGACCCAACCGAGATAGACTAATCTAGCATAGGATTCGAAGCCACACTCACAGTCATTGCAGGGTTGTGAAACCAAACTTTAGTCATTTTAGAGTTTCCCCCTCCATGTTTCGGTGCTACTTTCATTATCTGCATCGTTTTTTTGATCACAAAGTTTTTCTCTCCCTTGGTATGCACATGCTATCAATACATGTAGTAAAAAGCTTCATATTTACCATGACCTTTTCTCAGGTTTAGCACAATCAATTCTGGCAAAAACAACAAGAAAAGATTGCCCTGCACCCCCCCCCCCCCCNNCCCCCCCCCCCAGAGCAAGGTGGTCAGCACTCAGTACAAATGAGTACTCTGTAGGTAGCTTAGACCTTTTTAAGCTACAAAAGGTCTCAGTGGGCCTTGGTTATTGAGATTAAATGCATCTAAACCACCTCGCAGCAGGAATAAAATAGATTTTGAGCGGGAGAGAAGAGGATAGCAGTCCACAGGCGACAGTGCAGTCAGGGTCGTATTAAGCTCTACTCCAAAGCACAAACAAAAACAGAAAAACCGATCACAAAGATGATAGAAAACTTTTTTGGCCCCACATGAGCTCAAGCAGGGCAGTTTGAGTTTGCCCATTACAGCTTTTGATGGCACACACATCAATTTTGTCATCTAGTTTATTGCACCTCAGCGTGAAAAGGTTTCCAATCAGTAGTTTGCATTTGCTCTAGTGTATTTGAGATTTAGAGGCTTTAGTTTATGCCACTAAATCCCAATACTCAACCAAAGCATCCTTCTTGATTGTGACTTTCTTTGGATTACGTCTACATCTCCTATATGAGCCATTCTGCTTATAGAGCTACTGGTGGCCTGTGATACACAAATAGCAATTCTCCAGCCTGCTGGAGTGAAGCCACTGGTCAGTTTATAAATGCAGCTTCACGTCATCTCAGCATGACTCCAACTTAGAGACGGAGCCAACATAGGGAGTACAAGCCAGACTGATGGTTAAACACGGACTTTGACAGTTCTGTTCCCTCTGTCAAGCTTAAAAATGAGTTCCTCTTATGGACAACTTAATTCTGCTGCAGACTGAATAATGCTTGCCCTCACTGAGCAGCAGTTTGTCTCTATTTAGCTGTACTGGAGGCGGGCCCTGCTTCCACCAATACAACTAGAGCTGAAACAATGACAGACAAATAATGGCATGTATTTTTTTTTATATAAATGATTAATTTCTGAAGGTTTTGTTGATGGATTTTTCCTAATAAGATAGTAAACTTGGGTTTTTTTGTGGTGTTGGTCAGAAATAAACAAAGCAATTTCATGTCTTAATCTTGGGTTTCAGGAAACTGCACATTTTGTCCTGCCTTCAAACATTTTATAGACCCAAGAATTAACCGATCAATCAGGAAAATAACTGGTAGGCGAACAGACGATGGAAAATAATCGATAATAAGTTGTTCTTCTTTAGCTCCACTATTAGCTCCTATAGATATGGCTGAAAAAGAACTAGCAGAACATTTATCTGCACAGTATTTAGTTGATGCAACCGTTGGTGCATTTTAATTAGAACTCTTAAAGCATGTTAGTAAAAAGAATTAGCCTGTCAAACTACCCTCTTTGCAGTGAAGGGATGAGCATGTATTAATAGCAAAACATTTAGGGTACATTTAATATTTTCTACACGCGTGTGCTCATTGTGGCCTTGATTGGGAAAATAGGATTCATTTGAATTTGCGTGCATGGAATGAACACGACAGGAGGCTTTTTGTCTGAAAAATATTCCACTCTTCTTGTGTGCTTGGAAACTCCTACACTGCATTGCTGAAATGAATTCAAAATTGTAATTATAAGTGACTGAAGATGACTGAACAATGAGGTAAATGAGACTGGAAAGAGTAGCTTGTCTGATAAGGGGCCAAAAATGTGCCGTTAAGTGGGCAAAGATTATTTTATTATTGATTTATAAACCACTCTGTCATCTTAATGCAGCAGAGTAGCTCTTGTCGCTTCATGTATACAATGAAACATTGTTATTGGGGCTTTTTTTTAAGCACAAGAGTTTCAGACGAGCAGAAAATAAGGAGGAAGCCCTGAAATTGAGCTCGACATTGTGCCAAATAACACCTGTCTCACCTATCTGCAGAAACCACCTGAGATATGATGACAGACAGACATCCAGCTCTGTTCCTCTAGTTTGGCAAGGAGGGTAAACTGGGGCAAAGGTAAATGCCACTTGAGCTGTGATGAAATGTGACCCATGTGATGGGGGCAAAGCAAAGGGTGCAGTTAATGCCTCAGTCAGAGTGTGTGTGTGTGTGTGTGTGTGTGTGTGTGGGGGTGCTGTTTAAAAGTATACCACATACAAATAAATACATCAACATTTCTGAAGATACAGGTCTATTGAGGCAGCAAAGCGCCTGAACGGCAAGCACACACCGTTTGACTCATGCGAGCACCCGTAGGAGAAGTAAACAAACGCTTTTTACCCTGATGTGCGGGCTCTCGCTAGCTTTGGATGAGATTATTCCAAGCACATCGGCTCGGAGATCCACCAGAAACTTCACTCCCCCCTCGACCCTGCTGATGTGGTTCAGCAGCTGTTTATAACTGGGAGTCAGGCTGTAGCGGAGCCTGTCTTCGACCTGCAAAATGGTCGCCATGTCTCGCAGCTGAGTGTCCAAGAGCTTCGCGGCGAGCTCTGAAACGCTTTTGTGGTCCACTCCGAAGTCTTGCGACAGCTTCGTCAGGACGCCGAGCTTGTCTTCCTTGTCGAGGCTGCTGTAGAAGTGCATGAACTCCAGGCTGTTTGATTCTGGAGGAGGAGGGGATTTGTCTCTCGTTTCGTATGTGGGTAAAGGTGCAACGACCCTCGCCAGTATCTCCTCCATGCCCGCGACAGCGCCACGAATTGGGGTCGAGTACCGGCGCCAAACGCTGACGTCCGAGGCCCCGAGAGCCGATTTGAGGACAGTCCGGTGCCGCCAGCACCTCGTACTGACGCGGAAAGCCCAGATAACCGGGTACACAGGGTGGGGTATCATCGCCGGGAGGGAGCTCGAACCCGCGACCAGTGAACACACAGCACGGAACCGCTTCCGGGTCTCTTAAAGAGACAGTACAGCTGTCACGGCAACAGGTTAAGACTGCAGCTCCATGAAAGGTGTACTCTCGGTATAATACAGCCTGTGATATCTCCTCCTTTTGCTGTACAGAAAATAACATTAAAATAAATGATAAAAGATACAGACAGCCAGTGCAGTGTCTTCAGGAGTGGAGTGATGTGTCGCTTTCTTTTGGACTTTTTAGGAAATCCCGTAAAAAGAGAGTTACAGTAATCCAAACAACGTCTAATAAAAGCATCTTTCTGATTTAAAACTTAATGGACTTCCAATTTGATTTTCATTCCTAAAATGAAAAATCGTGTTTTGGTTTCCTCGTTAAAATGAGAATTAAAATTTAAATCAGAGGCTAAAATCTAGTTTGGCTTGTTTACTTTGTTATTATTTTGTGTCTAGCTAATTCATGTAATTTTCTCATTACATGGTTTTATTTTCATCTTCTCATACTGACAAACAGAGTAGATTGTAAGTGGGTGTCCATTACAGTAATTTAATGGGATGTTGTAGAATACTTATTTTTATAGTGCCCATGTTGTTTATGTTGTCATTTGGATGTTTGTATTCTACCTCTAATGAAAACAACAAATAACAATTTAGTCACCATAATATGGAAACCTAAAGGTGTGCACACAGCCTATGAGTAACCAGTGACTGTTAGATATACAGCATCCATAAGAGGTGAATCCAAAGAGGATCGTTGTTGAGTTTTTATAATAATCTGTAACTAAAAAATGTCTGTTTGACAGAATTAAATCAACTTATTGGATATATTATGTGGACATCATGTCATATAAGTAAAAAAAGAAGGAAATGAACATGTAAAATAAAAAATAAAAATACGTAAAATACACTATTTTGGAACTGTTGGTGTACCACAAAAGCAATGTACACAACAATATACACAACTCTGTGTCTCAGCCTATTCTCTTTCTCTTAAATAGCATTTTGTTGCTCTGCATGGTTGAAAAATGGCCAAGCAGCACAATAAAAGGTCCTTTTGCAGGTTCAGGGGTATATTGCAGCGCAAACACTTTCCTTTTGCCTACCACGTCCTAACTTCTTTTTACACATTTTTGGAAGCAGATTTCTGTCTGTATCTCTGACAGAACTGGATGGAGTCAGACAGGACTGTCCAAGGATTCTCAACTACACCTTATTTAATGTATTAAGTAAAGAAGGATCTATTCTTAGATTTGGCCAACAGCTTGTCATGAATATTCCCTTCTGATTTCACGATTAAGCAACACGTCCTCATTGACATACCAAGACTCATTTTGTTTTTATGGCAGCTGTTAGAACATGAACACATATGAATGACAGCACTTGTATTGTGATAACAGATGGGATGATGGGTAAAGGGTTACTCAACACTGCTGGCAGTGAGCTATATTTTAGAAAGACAGTCGTTTCTACAGATCTTACTTCTCTATATATTGTCTATTTACTATTTTTATTTTCATTTTATGTGTGTTTACTAATATATACATTTCTATTTTTATTTGTAGATATATGTATGTTAGATATTCTAATATAATTATTATTACTGTTTCTCTGTTATTGTTCGTGCTCATTGATGCGTTCTGTTTATTGTCTAACATTTGAGTAATGGGTAACCTGGACTGGAATAGGACTTTAATATTACACATTTGCTGAATGCCAATCACTCACTAGAGACATGAATACAGGGAAAACAAGAAAACAGATTATGATGCATCCACCACTACGAGGCCTCGCCATCATTATATTTGTATGTATATTGCTGAATAATATTGATTTGTTTCCCCAGTATTTGATTGCAAAGAGCTGCATGGTGACAGACTGACTGAGTTATATACACCACAGCAATCCTCAATCATCATTTGCAATATTCATTTATTGGCTATAATATTTTTCAGATTACAAATTATTTTGAACCAGCATGAATTATTTATTGATTACATATTATAAACCTCCATGCTCCATTGTAACCATTGTGTCCAGCATCAGGCACCCTGCATGGGCAACTAAAGTTTATATTGTATTAATCTGATGTTTTGGTGGAGGCACAGAGCTCCAGGTTTGCTCCCCATCAAATTATTATTAATTAATAATAATTATTATTATTATATGATTTTTTTATTGGCCTCTTTTATTTGTCTTTTTGTGTGTGAAAATACAATATGTTCTGTAGAGAAAAACTGCACTGATAACTCTCTGAATTCCACCTTGATGGTGCATACTGTTCGTTATTGCTTCTGTCTATAGCATTTTTCATGAAGTCAAGGCCTCCTCCTCTATTGAAATCATCCATTCAGTGTAGAAGCATCAATCATCTGCCCTCTGTTGCTTGACAATGTTTGAACTGTCTCCCTATAGGCTGATGTATCAATACTTACTGTGGGCCACTCAATCATGTCATCCACTGCAATTTTGTTATACAACTGCAGTATAAAAACTCTGTATGAGGTGCAATGACCTTTTGAGCTCTTTTGATGTTTCAGTGTTTTGTAAAGTGAGTTTTTTTTTTTCAAATGAATAAATAATTTAAACATCTGTTATCATTTTCCATCCATTAGGCCACAAGAAGACAATAACTATAACAAATTGAATTATCTTCTTTTTTAACAAGGAACTTTGTCAAAGTCATACTGCTGATTTAGAGGCTTTCCATTCTGACAAGAATTAAATAATAAAAATAATAAAATGAATAAAGAATAAAATGTGGGCTATAATTTAGAATTTTGAAATAATAATAATTGTTATTTAAAGCTTGTGTGCAGTGATTGTCTGTGATGGTATTGTCTGTCAAAAACCCATTGTTTTGACAGTGATTGCACCTTTCCAGAAATTTCAAGCGACAGCCGAGTATGGCCTATGCTGTATCCTTCTGGGATGAAGTGGTGGAAATAAATCATTGCCTCAGTAAAGGGTGGGCTGAAAAGACAACAAAGACTACATTTCTCTCTACAAATGGCAGCGAAGGCAAGAACAAACACTGCGGAACTGAAGAGGCAATGTGATGGCACTGCCGTAATGCAAACCAAATACACTTGTGTCAAGAGGTTAATCAGGAGGTCACTAAGTCAAGTGGTCCTTGAGACTTGCTTGCTTGCAACTTTGTACCTCCAGTGACTGTGACAATTTCTTACTCTATTATTTATCACCTATTCAATCTTCAAACTTCTCACACTGTGTTTTATCACATCAGTTCACAAAACATTTTACTCTATAAACAATAATAGGCTACTGTCCGGTGCAAGGCAAAACAAACGATGGTACAGGTTTTGCCAGTCAATATCAAGATGCCTCATCTATCCAACTTACATAAAAATGTAACTGATTCTGTACCCATTGACTTTACACACCGATCCATATCGTAATTTAAATGAACCAAACACGGTGATGCTGCATCTCATCCTTTCAGGTTTTGTCGGACCAATTAGGTCACAGATGTGTCAAGAGTTATGGAAACCCCAACCATCTATATACCAGTGGTTCCCAACCTGGGGGTCGCCAAAGCTTCATGGAGGGGTCACAAGGCCTTCTTGATTGTAAGAAAACTTAAAAAACACACACAGTAGGCCTATATCTCAACATTTGGTTCACTTCTGTGAAGAAATATAAATGTAAAGTGGATGGGAATTGTCTAATAGAACAATGCCCAAGTGTCCAAGAAAACACAGAATTTGTATGTATGATTGTTAAAATTGATTGAGACAGAGAACTGCATAAAAAATCTCTAACCTTTTGCAGTTATTGAGTTAACTATTTGGATCCATTGTACAGTTTCGAATATAATATGGAATATCCATAA